TATCGTGCGGCCTGTTAAACATTTGTGAACCCGTTTTATGAGAAAGCCAACACTCGGCAAGACTGAAGCTGATGTTACACATGCTTATACACATACAAAGAGAAACACGTAAAGAGAAATATCCAGCAGAAATATACAAAATACACGCTGGCCGAGCGATATATCTGCGGCGTCTTGCGAAATAAGCGCCCAACGTACCCATGTGGAATCAACTTGAGTAATTTTATTATAAATATTTATGTATTTATATGTGTACACATATCCTCTCCAAATAAATGTAATATGTGTTTGAAAACTTTATCTTGGTAATAGCAAAACACAATTCAACCATTTAAAAAAACATTGATGAGCTTGCAAAAGAAATTACAGCACTAAAAGTTATTGATTAATGACTTATTTTACATTATTGCATAATTATTATCATTGAGATAAGGATAAGAAACCCGTACATTTAAAAGTTAATGCGATATGTAAAAATTAAAAAGTATGACTCGTTCAGAACTCTTAACGTAAATAGCTGGTAAGTTGTCAAGATTGATAAATTAAACGACCTTTTATCACAAATCATAAAAAAATTATTCATACTAGCATTGCGGATTGTTAAAAGACGTAGAGCCTATTGCAAGTATCTTTATTACTTACTTTTTTTTATAATAATCACAACGCAATCTGCGCATTCATAAATCTATACAATGAGGATATTAGAAAAACAAGATACGCATAATGCGTTTCCTCAATTCGTGCGCTACGACAAATATTCCCACTCGATTCGTTTAAGAAAAAAAGTCAATTAATAATTATCGCATACAACCATGATAGACAGTATGTTTCTTCGTAAAATTAAATAATTAAAACAGTTCCATTGCAATATTCAAATACAATTGCTTTAATACAATTGTTAAAATTATTTGGCTTGCTTCATCACAATCGGAATCAATGCTGATATTTCTATGCGGCCATATTAATATGTATTGTAATGTATATTGACTTAATATATATTATAATGCACAGAGTATATTACTATATATATGTATATATATATATATAAATTATAATATAAATTAATATATATTATAATATATATTAATATGATACACGTGAAATACAAAAATTGTTACTATTATTGATCCCTTTATCTCATAGAAATGTGATGAAATCGTTATTCTAAATTCATGCATTTAGTCCCCTATTATTTAATCGTGAAGCTAAGTTTTAGAGAGAAATATCGCATTTAATGATTTTTCGATTAGCATTCTCAAGAATCCAAAAAGTTTTATGTTGTGTTTAGAAAGAAAGTATTCTGTATAATAAATTAAAAAGGATATATTTTCTAGGGAGAAGATACTTTGGAATTCTCTCATCTATATTTCGTAATTTCTGGCATTAGATGTTTGCGCAAGCTTCGATCTTTTATTCGACGTCGTTAACTTGCAATATTCTGTTTATTTGGCTACAATTAGCATTAGCCTAATAACATAATTATAAATTATATACAAATAATATTACATAAATTCGTCCAACAGATTGTGCATACATAACCGGTACGGTTACTCAACAAATGTTCCACGCTAAGTTATGTTTCTGTTCATATTATAGTAACAGTTCAAGTATTATAGTAACAAGGAAGGTAATACTTAGCATGGATGGAAAAATACAAATAGCAATCTTTCTTTTAGATCATTATATAAAAATGAAGGATATATTTTTCATTTTTGTAAAAGTACTCATTCAAGTTATGCGTCGTATTTACTGTTCGTTACTTTCCTTATTTCTTGCACAAGTATGACTAGCTCTCTACAGCTGTCTCCAGATTGTTATGGCCGCTTGCATTGTTCTAACATATGGTACCGTTCTAAACTTACGATAATTTAATTCCATTGAAATGAGATAATAATTGTTTTAATCAGTTATTATTATATAAATTATATGTATAAGATTCAGCACCTTCTTTTGCTCTCGGAAGTCTTGTTCAAAAAATATTCTTACAAACGTACCTTAAGGCATCATTGCAAAAATAAAAAATCTAAGCAATGCTATTCTTATATTACAATATAGCTAAATTAAATCTGGATTTGAAATGCTTGTAATAATGAATAATTACAAATCAAAGCTCATACAAATAGAGATGAGCTTTTGCTCCGACAGAGGTAAAGTATGTATATAAAAGATGAACAAACAGTGACATTTGTTCCAGAGAAGAGAATTTAACTGACCATTGTTCTGAGTATCTAATATGGAAATAGGAAATACATATTTTATCATACATCGTGTTTTAGAAACGATTTTAACTAGTAATTTGATTCGGTTAGAAATTCTTAGAAATTATTTTTCAATCCGTGTCAGTAACTTCTCTCCTAAGGCATGCATGATTCTCAAACGATTTGTAATCCATGACGATACTGATTACTATTCCAACGCGCACAATCACAGATTTTTGATGTAGCGAAGACATTCTGCGGCACCACCGTGTTCCCTGTCTCCCAGTTCTGACAGAGTCTAGACACGCTTCCGTTACATTCATAAGAACACTCCGCAATGCGCGTCATGCTTTTCGTAGATCACATGGGAGCGTAATCGAGTTGGACCGTGAGATGTCTAACGCCCGCCGCCTGGAAAATCTTTTGCGTTGTCATCACGACAGATTTGGGATCTACTTCTCTCGCCACCTCCAGTTTCAAACATCCGACGTAGACATCCGAGCACAGAGTCCAAAAGTGCGGTTCCTGCACACTGTAGACGCCGGGTATCTGTGTTACTTTGTTGTAGCACTGCGACAGAACATGATCTAGAGCTACCGGCTGTCTTTGCATAAGTATCTCCCATGACTCTTTCATCAATGAGATTACACTTAAAACTATCAATACTGCTATGAGCATAGAGCATATCGGATCGGCGATCATCCAACCGAACATTTGCATCAGTACTGCCGATATGATAACTCCCACGGAGCCGAGAGTGTCTGCAAGTATGTGCAAGAATACACCCTTCATGATTTGTGAGTTCGTACCACTGAAGGACATTTCCATTTCGACATGATGGTCATAGTTATGATTTAAGAGAGAGTAGTCATGATTCTGGGAGTGAGAGTGGCCATGGTGTCCTCTCCCACCATGACTATGACCATGGCTATGGCTGTGACTGTGTCCATGCCCA